TTTTTTTTTTTTTTTATCATTTTGAATAATGGGGTGAAATTAAAGAAACGCCCCAAAAATGACTGACGTTCAGATTCCTTTTTATTTTTAGTATTTAAACAAAAGTACAAACAAACCAAAGTACATTCAAGCTTGAGGCTAATTTTGGGATTTTTTTAGCGTGTCCAAACAACATAAGCAAAATGCTTCGATGAGAGTTTGGCTCTTATTTATAAACATTACGTTAACTACTCTTATTCATTTTAAATATTGCCATATTCCACCAACCCTGCATCCCAATTATTAAACGCACGCATACATTTTCTGGCTCTTTGATGCGTTTTGCAAAATAATGCACCAAATTCACTTTAATCCATGGTCGGCGCTCTTTTACCAAAACAATGCAAACCCACAAACACCGCGAGCTTATTAAAAGCCATCACGTGTACCAAATTAAAACACGGCACCATTACAATTTACACAAAACACAACCGTCCGAGCTAGGTTATATTTTAGAAATTAGACAATAAAAACTTGCTTTACCATATCGCCAGATGAGCTTCTTCTCTTTTCGCACGAAACGGAGGGAAAACACAATGATGTCCACTTCGGCGTTAGCGCGGTACGTTCCAGCGTAATAACCAACCAGCGAGCTACGTCTTGGTTTGAAATATAAGTTCTGTCCAATCACAGAGCTTTTCTATACGGAGTTTTTTTTTCTTGGACCGCCAGCGCGCACTAGTCTTGTGCGCATGCGTGCCGGCGTCATCATCATTTATTACATTAAAACCGATTAGAAAAACATAAGTATTTTTTATACTGTGATTGGCAATGTTTCGATCACAATGAAATCTATAGAATAATAACTGGCATGTTATAGTGCATCGTATTCTGTTGTAAAAGCTACAATGCATAACATATAAATTGTGTCATTGAGCACGTGTTGTCTCTGTTCAGCTTCCTCTTTTCAACACTAAAATTGTAAACGTGCCCTTGTGAGTCCCTTTTATTGTGCAAGATTATCTCTGTTTTATGACTGACGACCAGTGTAATGTTTGACTAATGGAGAACAAAAGATGACTTTAAATAAAACAAACAGGATTTTGAACACTGGAAAACTGAGCAAACACAGTTTTAATCTATTTCCTTATTTCTACATTTAATGTGCATATCAATGGCTCTTCTTCTTCCTATTTCTTTTTTTAGTTCCTTTCAGGTTTATGTGTTTTATGTTGTGGGGATTGGTCTTAACAGCAGTTAAATGGGTGATTCAAGACTCTGGATATGCATGGCTGAGCAATCGTAATAGGCGAATAATTATAGCGAATTAATTTTTAAACTTAGAAGTAGGCTACCTTTTGAGATATCAATGAAATATGATTTCTAGTGTTCATTAGAAATTGTATATTACTATAATTATGCTACGTTATTATAATTAATTCTCAGTTTCACAGTTCTTTTTATTGGAATGACAATATTACGAACGGTGTTGGACAGAGTGATAATTAAAAACAATTTGCAATCATTTGTACACACAAAAAAAAAAAGAAAAGAAAGAAAAAAAAACTTATCCAACCAGTTACATGCTGGTTACTTGTGTATCGCCTTCTACAATTAAAAGCAATTCAAGAGTGATAATTATTCATGTGCGCGCTTATCACAATCACTTTCTCAGTCTACATTTCAATTTGCACATAATATACCTGTACATACAACTGTCTATTGTTATATACCTGTACATACAATTGTCGATTTGTATATTTTTTTATTCCTTATTTTACTTGTTCTATTTTTTATTTATTTTTATTTTTTATTATCTGTTCATTCTGTTACACTGTGGAAGCGTCTGTCACGAAAACAAATTCCTCGAATGTGTAAACATACCTGGCAATAAAGCTGATTCTTTCACGCGACACATCTGACCTCGAGAATTAAAGGCCGACGTCACGTGTGACGTCATGGCGACGTTCAGCTGATCTACAGTCAGCGTTTACGTCATAGCTCATAATTCAAGAGTGGGCAACCGGCTGATCCTGGGTCAGATTTTAAAATAACATACGCAGAAATACGTAGCACTTTATAAAACTGTTATGCAAATTGTTGTTGATAACATCGTAGGCCTATGCATTTTATAGGAGACAGAATTTCATTGCATTTAAAGTATTCGTTTTTAAATATTAATATAGCCTAAAAATAGTGTTAATAAAGATGAATGCATCTGTTAAATTCACATTTATTTCTGACATTCACTAGTTTTCTGTACAATAGTCCAATACTGTAATATTTCTTTTATTTTAAAATTGTTATGATATTAACATCAAATGCACGTCATATTTGTATCTATTTTCTTTTCTGTCACTTTTATTGCATTGTTGCGCTGGCAGTACAAAGCAGCCAAGTACTTTTATGATAAAAAAAAAACAAAAAAAAGATAATGTTTGTTAGTTCTCCTTCAAAGCTTTAGCTGAGCTCCAGAAGGACAGGAAATGACTTTGACCAATGGAGCCCGAGCGCACCTCCCTCACGCCCCGAATGACAAGCGCGCAGACCTATTAGTGACCCCGCGAGCGCACGCCGCTTGTTATTGGCAGATGTGAGGCCAATGCTGTGGTGCCGAGAGCCGTGCGTACCGAAGCAGGGCAGAGAGGAGCGTTTCTCTGAGGGAGAAGTTGGATGGAGGTGCTGAACATGGCGGATGGAGACAGCGGGAGTGAGCGCGGTGGCCTCCAGCACGCCCAGCGGGAGCAGGAGACCCAGGAGCTGGCGTCCAAGCGCCTGGACATCCAGAACAAGCGCTTCTACTTGGACGTCAAGCAAAACGCGAAGGGCCGCTTCATTAAGATAGCAGAGGTGGGCGCCGGGGGCTCTAAGAGCCGCCTGACTCTTTCCATGTCCGTGGCGGCCGAGTTCCGCGACTACCTCGGGGATTTCATCGAGCACTACGCCCAGCTGGGGCCGAGCAGCCCGGAGCAGATCGCGCAGTCGTCCGGCGGCGATGACGGCGGCCCGCGGAGGGCGCTGAAGAGCGAGTTCTTGGTGCGTGAGAACCGCAAATACTACCTCGACTTGAAGGAGAACCAGCGCGGGAGGTTCCTGCGCATCCGCCAGACCGTCAACCGAGGTCCCGGCTTCGGCGTCGGCGGAGGGGGCGGTCCCGGAGGCAGCGTGCAGGCCGGCCAGACCATCGCGCTCCCGGCTCAGGGCTTGATCGAGTTCCGAGACGCTCTGGCCAAGCTCATCGACGACTATGGCGGGGAGGACGAGGAGCTTAGCGGGGGGCCCGGGGCCGCGGGGACCCACGGCGAGCTCCCAGAGGGCACCTCCATCATGGTGGACTCCAAGAGGTTCTTTTTCGACGTCGGCTCCAACAAGTACGGCGTGTTCCTGAGGGTCAGCGAGGTCAAGCCCAGTTACAGGAACTCCATCACCATCCCCTTCAAGGCCTGGGGGAAATTCGGAGGAGCATTCTCCCGCTATGCCGAGGAGATGAAGGAGATCCAGGAGAAACACCGGGATAAGATGTACGAGAGGAGAGAGGAGTCCGAGGGCGAGGATGTGGACGAGGACTGACCCCAGGAGATGTGTGAAACAATAAATGCATGAACTGAACTCAAATAGCCTACTAAAATATTCATCGGACAGAAAATTAGATCTTTGAAGTTTCTATGTGGTGAGGTTTTGGGGAGGGGGGGTCGTCTATATTGAAGCCATGGGGCGAAGGATGTCTCGTGGGTTTTGATTTATTTCTGATGCTGCCCTGTCCTGTGAAACCAGCAAGTTTAATTGTCTTAGTTAACAATGAAACCTTTGTTACATCAGCGCCAAGGCTGCTGAATTATGATAAGACCAGGCTATAAGGGTGCATACTATCCAACATATTTTTAGGTGAGATAAATTTATATATACAGTATACATATATAGCATCACTGGCCATGGTGTGTTTCCTACCAACGCAGCATGAGTCTTTCTAAACATACATCAGAAGTTGTGTTCTCAGATGATTATTTTCCTTTTATAGACAGATGTTCCCTAAGTTATTATTTTAAGGTTTTTGTTCT